GTGAAAATAACACCATTGCGATGGCTATCCAAAAAAACACGGAAAGAATTGCCTGAAAAAGCCAAAACATACTTAATTGATAATTATATAATAAACAGAATATTACATGGGCGCTTGGAGATACGAAATTTTTCTTCTCGTGTTCAATTTAGATATCTCACTCGTTCGCAGCGCTCACTTGTGAGAGATCTTTTCAACACTCGAAGATAAATTTCGTATCTCCGCGCACCCATGTAGTAATATCCTCTATATACTAGATATATTTCTATGAGATATTGCAAACTGCTGTTTATACAGTTGTACAATTTATTACACGGATATTCATTCTAAGATGACATGTGTCCTCTGTGCGATTGCTTCGACTCCGTACCAATATATTTTATAACCAAGCAAGCGCCACGAGTTCCGTTAATTAAATGTGTCAGTTAATTGGTGTCAATGTAAAGCAAGGCAAATCGTTTTATTGAGGATCGGCGACGCCAAGAAATTTAAATAGGCTAACGATTTTAAATTAAATTGTAAAAAATAAAAGGCCCTGAGTTCAGAGGAGGGCGAGAGAGTTTTCCTTTGCTTAAGGTATGAATACACTAGATCAGACTAAAGTTGGCTAAAGACATCTCTAAAGTAGACACACGGTCATCTCCAAGAAAAGGTAAGAAAAAAGGCTTTACATGAACACATTTTCAAAACACGAAGTTATGTTTTTAATTGTCGTATAAATCCAAAAATTTCTAGTGAGGCTTTGATGCGCGATAAGTAAAAATGAGAGCTTTTTTCCCCATGCATGCAAAAAAAGTAATTTTGGTCCTTTTCTTTGCGTTCTTTTGAATGAAGGAAGCTAGCTATATTTTCTAATGAATTGGCTTTTCAATTATCGCAAAGATTCATATCTAGAACTCTTGCTCGTTCAGCAAAATAAAATAAATAATCCAAATTTAGGTGGTTTTTAATCAAAATGAAATGAAGAAGCAAGAGTTAATGGTAGGCAGAAAGAGAAATTTAATCTGATTAGATAATGAAGTTATTTTTTCCAAATCTTGATTAACAAAAAGAAAAAAAAAAGAAAAAAAAAAAGAAATATACTGAATGAAACACAGYACAAAAAACGAGATTTWCGCATTTTTATYCTWAGCGTAAAGCTKCTTAAAGTTGTTTTAAGAAMTTTRCGCCTTTGATAAAGCTRCTTTTTCTTTGCGTTCTTTTGAATAAAGGAAGCTAGCTA